ATCAATCAACTTGGGAAGAATTTTTATTATCAATTATCTGATCATTACTTGATCATTCCTTTTTGATTTATTCAGCAGCTAAAGTTTTCAATGTTTTTAATCCAAAAATTATCGGATTTCTTTGATTATCGGATAATTATCGGATGAAAATTATCGGATATCTTTTGTTGATGCTATTTTGTCTGTTTACATTTTATGACTTCGGAAGTGGGAAATTTCAAAGATATTTGTTTGATGCATGAATTTTCCTTATCCTTTCCTTAATCCTTTCTTTAAATATTTAATCGATAAAAAAAGTTTTTTAATTTTCAAATTTAATACTTAACAATGAATGAAAATAATGGAAAAAGATAGTGGTGAAAGAGTTATTTCTGATAAATTCTTTCTATCAGTCATTCATTTCCAATGATCATTTTTGTACTTTGAACATTTGATATCTATCCACATTAAAAAAAAAAATTGAAATTGAAATTTAAAAAGATCGCATTCATTATGGGTGATTTTATCCTTGCTTTACCATCGCTCATATTTGCATAAAACAATCGCATATTTCAACAACAACAACAGCAAGAAGAACAATAACAACAATAACAACAACAACGACAACAGCAACAGCAACAGCAGCAACAACAACCAACAACAATAACAATAACAATAACAATAACAGCAACAACAATAACTACAATAACAACAACAACAACAACAACAACAATAACAACAGTGACAACAACAATAATAACAATAATAACATTATAAGAGAACTATTAAGCAAGAAATAGAAAGAGAATTGTTACTATGAAAAGGTTGAACTATCCGGTTTGTTTACCGGCAAAATTTACTTATTTCGGTAAGAAATATTTTCCTTCAAATAATCTGTTGCAAATGCATACAGCATTATTTATGTGATAATTAACGATTATTGAATCTTTCGAATGCATTTCCGGAAACATCATGGAACATTTGGAATTTGTTCTGCATAAGTTACAGATAAATCACATCCGGAATGAGATTATTCCTATAGATTAAATTAAGTGATAATTCAAATTGATAACGATCGAGATGTTCACCGTAAAAGATTTATCAAGATTAACTATTTAGCGGAACATAGATTGATTCAAATTTGATCTAATCATTCAATGATGTAAAGTAATTCAATTAGAAAGGATTGCATGCAATCATTGATATGTAACCTTTGCCCTGTCCAATTCATTCCATTCGATAGTTCAATTGTAATTTTTACATCTGAATGAAAGACGACTTCTATCCTTCTATGAATCATTGCTACAATTATTTGGTGATATTCATATCAATCAGTGAGTTTGATGTAAAAAAAAAAAAAAAGTTAACATTTGGATGAATAATTTTGCGGCCAATAAAAGAAAACTATCTAATTTGATCAAATAAATTTAAAAAAAAAAAAAAACAAATGTTAATCAAAGATTTTAATTAAATTTAATTTCT